TTCTCACTTTCCCTCTCTCTCTCTCTCTCTCTCTCTCTCTCTCTCTCACACTCTGTTCCTCTTTGGTCAAATTAAAAATAAAATAAAATAAATAAATAAAGTTAAATAAAATAAGTCTATAAAAAAACTAAAAGGAAAAAAAAACTAAAAAAAAAAAAATGAGGACAATGTACAGGAAGTTTTAGACACCATTATACAGCTGAGTATTAGCAGGTATTCCAAAAGGAGACAAAACAGGTAAAGGCATAGAAAACATTTTTCATGGGGCCGGCAGGTGGCATGGTGGATAAGGGTGCTGGGCTCCCACATGGCCGACCACAGTTCAAGTCTTGGACCTGGCAGTTTGTTTTCTCACTTTCCCTCTCTCACTCTCTCTCTATGTCTTTCTGGTCAAATTAAAAAATAAAACGAATGAATAAATAAAATTGAATAAATAATTCTTTAAAAAAAAACATCTTTCATAATAAATTAACTGAAAGCTTTCCAAATTTAGAGAGGCAGGCAGACATCCAAATCCAGGAGATACAAAGGACACCAAATAGATGTAAGAAGATCCTCTCCCAGGCATATCATAGCCGAACTGGTAAAAATCAAAGACAAAGACAATATCCTAAAAATGGTGAGAGAGAAATGCCAAGTTACTTACAGAGGTTACCCCATCAGACTAACATCTAACCTTTCAACCAAAACAGCTCAGTCAAGGGAAGAGTGGAAAGACTTATTTAAAACAGAAAAAAAAAGCGATTTCAGCCAAGAGTACTATACCTGGCAAGAGTATCCTTCAAATGGGAAGGAGAAATAAAATCATTCCCAGTAAACAAATGCTGAAAGAATTCACCAAAATAAAACTGGGTCTTCAGGAAATACTTAAGGGACTACTACACCAGGAAAGCTAAAGAGAGACAAATAGAAGTAAGCGAACACAAAGCAACTAGAAAAAAAATGATTAAGTCCACATGTATTGATTAGATAACGTCAGGACTGAGTGTGAAGTCAACGATTTTACACACAAGGAAGTTTAAATACAAATTCAATTATTTGATAGACAGCTAGCTGTCTTCACGAGTTTCAGTTTATGTATTTATTATAACCATTACTCATTGTATAAAATTAGATAATAGAGCTAAAGTCCAAAATGTTGCACGTAGCCGAGTCTTTCTTTGGAATGAGTTTTTAAAAGGCTAAAATCAAGAACTTTGTAAATCACCATATCACTGACTTTACCACACCTTTGCTTTTAAGCATCTCTTTCCAATTTTGTTTAATTTTTGCTTTTCAAGGACTTACTTCTATTTTTGTTTGTTTTTTGTTTGTTTGTTTGTTTGTTTTGGGTGGAGAGGTTTTTGCTATAGGGCGCATGCACTCACCAGAAAGACAGAGAGAGACAGAGAGACAGAATGCAAGAAATCACCCCCAGGGGGGATGGCCACGCTGCAATCCCTTTTTCATTCTCCTCTCAGGATCTTGGGCATGCACGCACACATGCCTGGCGTGAGTTTAAGCTACCAGGTCTGGGACTCAAACTACAGTCGACTACATGAAAGTCCAGCGACTTAGCCATTACACCAACTGCTGTTCCCACAAGGACTTGTTTCTTTATGCATAGCACAGTCTTGTGCTCTTACAAGAACTCACCGTGTGTGAGTAAAGTGTTATTTTTCTTTCTCTTCCTAATGAGCTATCATTATGTACAATTTTACCTATCTCTAATGACCAGTGATTAATACCCACAGATATTTTCAGATTATAAACTCATTTCCCACAGTCCTCTACCTGGAAATTATAAATTCTTCTTTTACTAGCTATGTTAAGATTATCTTTGTTAATTTATTAGATCATTTGTTGCCTGATTTTTAATCAATGTGTTTTTCTTTAAAACCATATCTCACAGTAAAGGACATGACAGACAATTCAGCACACACTTGTAGAGTAACTATTGGAGTGGGTTTTACATGTTCACAACATAATATAATGTTAAATGCTAAAAGTAGTGAAGATCTTTATATCTTCAATTAGTTTATCATGCATGCTTTTTAAAATTATTTATTTAATATTATTCACTATTATTATTTTAATTTTCTATAGAGCATGTGTACTCACCAGAGAGAGACAGAGAAAGAGATAAGGAAAGTAAGAAAACAAGCTACCAATCTGGGACTTGAGCCATAGTTGGTTATGTGGGAGTCTGGCTCCTCAACCACCACGCCACCTGCTACCCCAATATATACATACTTTTTTTTTTATCATCATAATCTTCTTTATATTCCATTGGATTACATATTACTTTACAGCGTATTACATTGTTTTTTCAAAAGGGAATGCCATGCATGTCAGTCAGTACAGCGACATCTATCCTCTTCTCTTCACTTACCCCATTCCACACTGTCCTATTCTCATTAAGTACCTTCACTGCTTTTATGTCCTCCAATTTTTTGTTCTCTATCACAGAGTGCAGATAGTCGGTATATATTGAGTGGATACCTACAATATCTTTCTTTCATAGCCTGGCTTACTTCACTCAGCAATAGATCCTCCGTATCTGACCATTTTCTATCAAATTCCAGGGTCTTGTTATTTTTTATGGCTGAGTAGTATTCCATAGAGTATATACACCATACTTTTCCAATCCATTCATCGGTTTGTGGACATTTAGGTGGGTTCCATGTCTTGGCAATTATGAATAATGCTGCAATAAACATTGATGTGCAAGCACTTTTCTGACTGAGCGTTCTCCTGTCTTTTGGGTAAATACCCGGAAGTGGGATTGCTGGATCAAATGGTAGTTCTATCTGTAGATCTTTGAGGAACTTCCATATCGTTCTCCACAGTGGTTGAACTAGGTTACATTCCCACCAACAGTGTAGGAGGTTCCCTTTTCACCACATCCCCGCCAACACTTACCACTTTTTATATTCTTAATCTTTGCCATTCTGACAGGGGTTAGGTGGTATCTCATTGTGATTTTTATCTGCATCTCCCTTATGATGAGGGATGTTCATATATACATACTTTTAAAGACCATTCTGTACCCTGGAAAGATGTGAAAATAACATCTAAATAATAAATTACAATCAGTTTTTAAAATTGTGGCCTGTTGCCCCACGCCTAGTAATAGCTCAGTAATGTTAGGATTTACTACAACTTATTACCCCTTTGCTATGTGCCAGGCACCAGGCTAAGCATTTATTCGTCTATTGATTGTTTTCTGAGTTTACTTCTTTAACAAACATGCATATCATGAGCCCTGTGCCAGGCTCTGTTCTAAGTGCTTTACAAACACTAACTTCCCTAGGCCGTGTCCTGTGCTAACCAAGCTCTCCCAGGTAGGGACCGCGTAGTTCCATTTACAGTGAAGAGATCTCAGTCCAGAGAGGCTGAGCTGCCAGGGTCCCCTGTCTATCGGGGGGCGCTACTCAGGTTTCCCCCAGGTGTATCTTGTCCTGAGCCTCCGTCTGTATCTTTGACGTCTGATGTCAGGGCTAGTGTCCTTCCCTATAACCTTCCCGGTGGCCACACTCAGCTCTTCCTGCTTCTGGAATGCCTGGCTTGGTTCTTCTTATCCTTCTCATCCTTCTCTCTTCTCTATCTCTCTTCCTCCTCCTCTCCCTCTTCTCCCCTTGGGAAGGAAGGAAAGAAGGGAGGGAAACAGGAGAAGAAGGAGACTTCCCTTCTTCCCTTCTGTCTTTCTCCTTTTCTTTCATTGAAGTACCCCATACACGAAGTGCACAAATCCTAGGTATATAACTCAGGGAGCAGTTCAATATATTTACTGTGTAACCACCATGTCAAGAGAAAGGGCATTTCTTTTTTTTCTTTTCTTTTCTTTCTTTTTTTTTTGAGCGGTTTTTGCTACAGGGTGCATGTGCTCGCCAGAAAGAGTGAGACAGACAGAAAGCGAGAAATCACCCCCCAGGGGGGATGGCCACGCAGCAATCCCTTCTCCTCCATTCTCCTCTCGGGATCTTGGGCACACACTCACATGCGCCCGGCGTGAGTTTAAGCCACCGGGTCCAGGACTCAAACCGCGGTCGACTATGTGGGAGTCCAGCGACATAGCCATTATGCTAACTGCTGGTCCCGAGAGAGGGCATTTCTATCACCCAGAAGCCTCCCAGGGTAACTTCTAAGCCAAAACTCCCTCCCAGAGGTAGTAACCTTCTCTTTGGACTTTTGTCACCACACACTGGATTTACGTGTTCTTCAATTTCATATAAAGGAATGTTGTGCTCTCTTGTGAATGGCTTTCTGTGTATCACTTCGTGAGGTCTGTTCATCTTGTTCAGTTAGCCTGAGTGCATTCTTTTTCCTTGCTGCATAATGTTCCACAGTTTGACTATGACAGTTTATCTATTCTGCTGCAATGGCCTTTGTGGTTGTTTCCAGTTCGGGATTGTAACGAGTGAAGCTGCTCTGAGCATCCATGTGCGTGTCTGTTTTGTTTTTCAGAAGGGAAACAAGGGCATAGGGGAGACATGAGTTTAGCTTAGTGGAGACCGTCAGACCATCTCCACATTCCCATTGCAGCGAATAAAAGCCCTGATGTTCCTGCCCTCTCCAGCGTCCGATACTGTCAGTCTTTTCAGTTTTAGCTATGCAGATGTGTGAGTGGTAGTATCCCATTGGGGTTTTAATTCCTATTTCTGGTGAGTAATGATATTGAACAGTTTTTCATAAACTTATTGCGATTTGGGATCTTTTAAAATATCTACTTAACTCGTTGCCCATTTTTCTCATCTGCTTGATTTCTTCTTAATGGTTTACAGAAGTTGTTTATGTACTACAGATACAAATCGTTTTTGTTGATATGTATATTGACAGTCTCCCCCCCCATCTGTGGTATGTGTTTTCACTCTCTTAAAAATGATGAATAGGAGCTCTTCATTTTAATGAAGCTTAATCGATCCATATTTTTCTTTTATGGCTGCTAAGTTTCACATCCTGTTTATATAACCTTAGCCTACTCCCAGAAACATTTCTCACTGGGATTTTTTTGCCTGCAGGTCTGGGAATGGCCACATGGGACAGGCCAAGCCGGAGGCAGCCTCAAGCAGCTGAGCCAGCTGCAGAAGGGGAACCAAATCCGCCCACAGGTCGGGAGTTGACTGAGGCCAACCGCTTCGCCTATGCCGCCCTCTGTGGTATCTCCTTGTCCCAGCTATTTCCAGAACCTGAGCAAAGGTGAGTCCTTTGGTCTCATAGAGGGATGGTCGTGCTCCTTTGGGGAGACAGTTATTGTCAGCCCAGAGGCCTGCCAGATACCGCAGGGCAGTACAAAGAAGTCTTCTTTAAGGAACACACAGACTGACAGGGGAGTAAGACATCCTCTCATTCAGTTATTCACTCCTTCATACCTTCACCCAGCATGTTTTGAGCCATGCATGATTTGAAGTATGGGGAGAATATATATGAATAAAATGAATGAGGCCCAGCCATGGGGGCATTGCAATACAGTGCAGTGCTGGAAGCCTTGGGAAGATCAGGAACTGGTTCCCAGGTCAACCTGTACTCCTTAGCTGCACATACGTGTGCCCTTGACCTGGCTGCCTGTGAAAGGCTTGAGGCATGGATTGCAGCATGAGACCCTGTTGAGGGTGCTTCTCGCTCTCTTTCTTTTTCTTTTTCTCTCTCTCATAAAACAAAGAATTGACCTGTTAAAGAGGGGAAAAAAAGTGAATGAGAAAGACACTGTCCTTTCTTTAAGTAGAACACACTCTAAAAGGGGGATAAGAAACTTATTTATTCATGTATTTGTTGAGCACCTCTGTGTGCTGGAAATGGTGCATGGAGAATAAGGCCTGGCTGCTGCTCACGAAGTGATGGCGGCACCCACGTGGCTGATTGTGACAGCCGACAGACACAGATGAGTGTGTGCCCTGATGGCATATGGGAGCAAAACAATGGCTGTTTAACAACCTTGTTAGAGTTCATGCCCGTCATTGCCCGAATCTCCTGTGTGTGGTTAAGGCATATATTTGGAGTCAGAGTAGCAGAGTTGTTAAGAGCATGGCTTTGGCCTTCAAGGCCTTCAAGGATTCCAGTGGGCAGAGTCTGAAGGCAGGAGGAGGCCAGTTAGGAGGCTGGTGGGGATATCTGAGGGGACTAAGACAGTGACTGGAAGTGGAGGGACGGTACCAATGGGGTAGACTTTTCCAGGGTGAATGGAGTGACTTGGGATCAGGTTGAAGGTTGGGGATGAGTAAGGGCAGGGCTAACTATGGCTGCAAAGGTTCAGGAAGGCAGGACAGCATACGATGGAGATGTCATTACTAGGACAGGGAGCCATGCCTGGGTGGGGGAGGAGACGATGAGAAGTTCTTGCATCTGAAATGTTTGCAAGACACCCTCCTCTCCCAGATATATACACATGTTCATGGGCTCCCAGGAGTAAATTTCTCTCATGCTTTGGGTCTTAACTGTTTGGGGTTTGGTTTTGGTTTTTGTCTTTGTCTCTTCGCTGGACTGAACCCTTGAGCAAGTCATTGCCTTAGGGGGCACCTGCAGGAAATCTTGCCTCACCCACTGCCCAGACCAGGCTGTTCGCCAGCTGCCTGCCCACAGACCCACCTCTTTGACCACCACACTGCAAGAGACTTCTTCCTGCACCCACTGCCCCTGCAGTCTGAGCTCCTGGAGGGCAGGAGTCGTCTTGTTCATCTCTGAGTCCTCATTGCCTTGGTGCAGCAAAGACAATCCGTAAAAGTTTGTGAAAAGAAAGGGTAGATATGGGGCCAGCAGATAGTCTGGTGGTTAAGGCACTGGACTCCCACGTGGCTGACTGTGGTTTAAGTCCTGGACCTGGCGGCTTGAAGATCACACCAGGCATGTGTGTGATGGTGTGGCCATCCCTCCTGGAGGGTGATTTCACACTTTCCCTCTCACTATCTCTCTCTGGCATACACACATGCCCTATGCCAAGAATTTTAAAATTAAAAAAAAAAATTAAAAGAGGGCGTAGATAACTGCTGGGTTTATTAGCAAGGAGACAGTCCATAAATGGAGACTGAGATCTGGATTCCAATCCTAACTCTGCCACTTTCCAGTTGCGTGTGACCTTGGGCAGGTCATTTAACTATCTCTTCGTCTGTAGAATGGGGTTAGTAATGTTCATCTCATAGGGTGATTACAATAATTAGATGAGATGATATAGGTAAAGCACATAGCACGGTGCTCAGCACATAAGAGATGTTCAATAACTTGTAGTGGTTGCTTGCTACTTCTGCAACTTACATTCTTAGCCTCAGTTTCTTTGTCTAGAAAATGAGAATAATGTAGAAACTTATTCCTACCATATGTATACACCCTTTTTTTTTTTTTTTTAGAAATTTTTGCTATAGAGTGCATGTGCTTGCCAGAGAGCTAGAAAGTAAGAAATCATCCCCCTGGAGGAATGACCACTCCGCAATAATTTCTGCTCCATTCTCCTCTCCAGATTTTTGGCCACACCCACACACATGCCTGGTCTGAGTTTTAAGCTGCTGGGTCTGGGATTCAAACTGTGGTCAACCACATGGGAGTCCAGCAACATAACCATTTTGCCATCTGCTGATCCCAGGGAGGGCTTTTTTTTTTATTTATTTTTTTTTTTGAGAGGTTCTTGCAATAGGGTACGTGCGCTCGCCAGATAGAAAGCAAGAAATCACCCCCCAGGGGAATGGCCACGCTGTAATCCCTTCTCCTCCATTCTCCTCTCGGGATCTTGGGCCCACACGCACACACACCTGGCGTGCGTTTCAAGCCACCAGGTTTAGGGACGCAAACCACGGTCGACTACAGGGGAGTCCAGCAACCCAGCCATTACACTAACTACTGGTTCCCCCAGAGAGGGCATTTTTAACTGCAAGTAATAGAACATAGTACTGAAAGAGATTTAAACAATAGGAAGTTATTTTTCTTAACAAGAAATGCATGATAGATAGCTCCAAGGTTAAGTGCCTCTAAAGGCCTTCTGGCTGGCCATTGATAGTTCCCCTGGCCCTCCCCCTCCTGATCACAAAATACCTGCAGCCGCTCCGTACGTCATACAAGGCAAGTCCCAAAGCAGGATGGGGGAGGGCAAGGATTCTCCTCAAGTCTCTCATCAGGAAGGAGATCTTTGCCAGAATACCCTAAGAGGGCTTTCATTTGTGTCATTAGCTAGATTGTCACATGCCCAAGCCTTACCGGTAAGGGAACCTGGGAAATAATGAAGACATTCGCCAATTTCAGCCTCTGATAGGGGAGGCAGGTTCTGTTGGCAAAGAAAAAGGGGCTGGGGAACTACTGCTTCCGATAAAAAGCCGACTTTGTCTGCCACACCCTCAGAAAGGGTGACTGCAGGGGCACATGTGGATGGCCCGCAGGGCCTGGCTCAGAGCTATTGCCAAACAAATGTAGGTGTCCTCATTATTGATAAAAACCCATACTCTGCCTGGAGGCTGGAAGATATCTCTGAAGCCCAGGTGGAAGGCACCACTCTCTCTAATGCTGAAGCCACGTGGCTAATCAGAGTTTGGATTCTGGGTCGACCTGAGAACACACGGGCTGGCTGAGAGGCTGGGGGAGGGCTCATAGCATGACGAGACGCTGCCATGGGTGCCTGTCTCGTGTATGTGCGTCTCTCTCATGCTGTTCCTTGGGCACATACACTCACTCACTCTCATGAAAATAATAACTAAAGTAAACTTAAAAAATAAAATACCTTGGATAGTCTGTTCCCAGACAAGCCAGTGCTTCATCTCCTACAAGAGTTGGACTTGCTGCCTGCTCTAGCTCATACCTGTGCCATGTCTAGGAAGACTCCATCTTTCCGGAAGTGTCCCCTGGCCTTCTAAACCTACTTGATAAGCCCCTACCTGATGAGCCAGTACGCAGCCAGAGAAGGGCTCTGTGCACTTTGCTTCATAAACAAATGTTTATGAACCCGGACCCCGTGCTGGGCCCAGAGGGCAGAGGCAGTGAGTCCTGTCCCGGGCCCCCTCCCCACCTCCCATCTAGGTTGCTCAGCTGGGGCGCTGTCCAGGACGGCGTTCGCCTTGCAGTGTTTCCTCCTTGAATGTTTCCAGTTCAATGTGCCAGTTGTTTCCATGGCGTCAATCTCAGCTTTCTGAGGCACAAAACACCTTTTTTAAAAGCCTTGATTTTTTTGGCCCAGCGGCAGCAACCCAAGTGGGAGGCCCTGCTGTGCAGTGGCTGGGGCCACCTGTGAGGCCTGGGCTCAGTTCCTGGCCCGATGTGAACAGACTCCCCGAGGGTAGTGGCACAACCTGTGGTCCTAGCTAGCTGGGCGGTGGGGCAGGAGGACCGTGACGGGGAGACCTCGGCAGAAATGCCTGCTACTGCCCGGCTGCAGTGGCACAGGGAGCAGGGGTGCTGCTGTGCAGTGTGAAGGCCACGTGGGAAGGCCTGCCTGAGGCTCCAGCTGCACCATGGATGTGCTCATGGCCGTGGCCGGCCACAGGCCCGGGAGAGGATCACCGTGTGAAGACTGCTGGGAGTGCCATGCCCCTCTCTCTGGGAAATCAGTCAACCACTATCAACAACAACAAAAAATGTGTGTGTGTGTGTGTGTGTGTGTGTGTGTGTGTGTGATTGCCCCCTTTTTCTTCCTCACACATTCACTCATTCTCTCTCACTTATAAGGGGGAAAATTTTTTAAATAATTATTTAATTTTATTTATTCATTCATTTAAATTTGGCAAGAAATAGAGGGAGAGAGAGAGAGAGAGAGGAAGTGAGAAAGCAAGCCACCAGATTTGAGACTCGAACCATGGTCGACTATGTGGGAGTGTTCAGCACTTTAACCACCACGCCACCTGCTGGTCCCCGGGGGGAAAATTTTTAAGCCCAGATCTGCCGTTGGTTTCAGTAATCTCTAGAAAACCTTGGTCACAGTTTTTGACCATGTAAGGCATAAAGACAAGGCAATATTTCTTTATTACCTGGTCTGTAAACATCGCAGGTGCGGTTCCTTACAATTATCTCTATTTATTAAACGTGGAGAAACTGTTGAGGTAGAGCAGGGCTTGCCCAGGTAGTCTAGACTCGCGGGCCCGGTGGCCTCTGCTGCCAGTTATTCTGCTCTGTTCTCTAACCCTGAAGCAGCCATCGACAGGACTTAGAGCAGCAGGTATGGCTGTGTTCCAGTAAGCACACTAATGGGCTTCAGGCCAGATTTGCTCCTGGGCTGAAGTTTGCTAAGC